GGCGTTTTGTGACACCAGTAAGTAACAGCTCCTCTATCCAGTGACGATGTTGCAGTTGTCAACTGCAAGCCCACCATGTCTATATTATTTATGTAAAAGTGCTCTACATAGATGATGATTTCCCATACTGCTCTGTCCTAAGTTTTCCTCTGCTATTCATGTGTCCATTGTTTTTTGGTTGTTGCTGCTGTTATATTTCTACTAGGTGAGATTGCTCTGTTAGGTCCCAATGCTTTGTTCTCATCAAATGGCAAAAGGTTCTAATTGCATGTAACTTACCACTAAAAAAGTTTTTGGAAGTTCTGACTTGCATAAAGACATGAAACTGTAATGTTAATTGCTCTCTCTCTTTCGTTCTCTCTCTGTCTGTGTCTGTGTCTCTGTCTCTATTTGTCTCTGTCTCTGTCTCTGTCTCTCTTTCTCTCTGTCAATTGTTACTTCCCAGGATTATAGAATATAGGAATGTTGGGCAGACTGCCCTCCCTGTCTATATTAAGCCATTTGTAGCAACAACTGAATATGCAGGAGCCAGTAGAAAGACAGATTTTGGCCTTAATTTTACTGCTTATATTGAGTTTATGTGTTTCATGTTAGTTGTTTATTTGCTATGTCCTTGCCTATTGTTGAAAGTCTGGGCAGTTATAAGTTGTTACATAAAATCTATTGAAAGGCAAAATCTTATCTCTGAAAGTTGACTTATCATTTGTATTCTCTTGCGTTTATACTTAGGAACTGTTGAACAACTTGACTTTAATACTTTTTTGTAATTTTCATTTAACTATGAAATAGTATATTGACAACAGAGCTTCAAGTAAGCCACACTGAGCAAAAGATTGGTGGATGCTTCATAAAGATTATTAAGCTTGTTTTAATTTTTGCTGCTACTGACTGGTTCAGTCCTTAAGGAAGATGAATGAATCCTCAGTTTCCTCGAAGGTTTCATTTCACAGACATTGAATGACAGTTCTTTATCCCAAGTGAAAGAAAATTAACCTTTAACTATCATCATTTTAGAAATGATCAACTGAATAATATGAATAATTGTCATCCGGCAAAAAGAGAGGAGTTTCACCTAAGTCTGCTTATTGCATCTTTTCCTAGTAGTCAAGAAGCATAGCTATGGTTATCTCTGCTCATTATGGATTAACCCATAATCACATGCTCATTGTGAAAACATTTGAAGTTGTTGATTAACAAGATTTGAATTATCTGGTGATAGCTAAGTCTCTCTCAGACCACATTTCCTGCTGTGTTAATTAGTATCCGATTTCTGCTTGGTATTTACTTTAAAAAGTAATTTTAAGGGTGCAGTAAATATATGCTGAGAAGTCTGAAGCTGGCCATTGGGTTAATCTTAAGCAGGTTTCACTTCCATGAGTACATTTGCCAACCCATAACAATAGGTTTAATGTGAAGTATTCTAATACTTTTTGGAGCATACAACCATCCCATAAGCTATTACCCAGTAAATATGATGACATTTCACACATTTCCAAATTTGAATTTAGTGAACTCCTCCAAATTGCAGTGTCTTTTCAAACTTGTTTTTATTAGTTATCATCATCACTGTTTTCTTTATTACAGTTGTTTCCAGCAATTTAAATAGGAAATATATTTCAAGGTGAACTCTATGCATACCTGGCTATCGGCATAGGAAATAGCATTTAGGCTACAAATGTATTTCCCCAGATCTTGCCACTGAGTAGGACCACTGTTCAATACCCAGGCTGCACATCATAATCACTTGTGGGATTTAGCGGATGTTGTAGATTTCCAAGCCATGCCCTCAAGAGGTTTGTGCTGTAGCGCCAAGGTAGGGATCCAGTCATAAAATCACATCCATACTTACATGTCTTCCAAGACTGGATTGATCCTAGGGCCTTCACACTGAATTACATCCTCAGCTTTTTTTTATTTTGAGACAGGATGTTTCTAAATTGGTAGTTGTCCAGGCTGGTCTTGAATTTGTTATCCTCCAGCCTCAGAGGGTTGGGATAATACGCCTGCTCAATACCTAGCTTGGTGTTATGTTGTAGAACAGGGTCACACAGCCAAGCATTGTCAAAGCACTTAGACATGGATGGTTATATACTTTTCAGAAGTGAAAAGCACCTGCTTAGGCAGACACAGGAGCTGGATGTTTAATCCCCAGCCGGCCATGCCAGCCCTGCCTCTGGAGCTGGCTGAGACTGTGACTGAGAGACTGGGCGTGGTGGTACACACCTGTAATCCGAGCACTTGGAGGACTGAAACACAGGAGGATCACTACGGGTCCTATCTGTGTATTGAGACCCTGTTAACCATGCACTAAATAATTTTTTTTTAAAGTGAATAACAGAAAGAGAAAAATGGGACCAGTCTTCTGCAGTATGAAGGGAGCTGCCAAAGAAATGTTTCTCTGAGGAAACACAGCATGGCAAGGGCATCTGGAAGGTGGTCACCTTCAGCAGAGGAGATTTCTGCCCCCTTCTTCCTTTTTCTCTCTTCTCCAGGTGCAAGACAGTTATCTTCCTGTGTTAGCTTTTTCTTATTGCAGCAAATACCTAGAGAATCAATGTTTATTTCAGCCAACAGTTTTGGAGTCTCAGTGCATGGACCAACCTGTTAGTTTGGGGCCTGTTCCAAGGTGGCACATCATGGGGGCATGGTGTGGTAAAAGTGCTCACTTGTGACTAGGAAGCGAAAAGAAGAAAGAAGAGGAGCCTGGGGTTGCCCACAATCTCCTTCAGAACTAGTGATCAGAAGGCCTCACACTAGGCTGCATGCTTTGCGGTTTCCACCACCTCTCAGTGGTGAGAAGTTGGGGACTGAGCCTTTAGCACACGGCCCTTTGGAGGACCCTTCAGACTGAAGCTCCAGCACATTGCTATGCTCTTCTCCTACCATTGTGATTCCTGTTTCTTGCCTGGCTTCTCCTTTCACTATCACTCAGATTCTATAGTGTGTCTCTTTGGTCATCCCAGTCTCACTGAAGGCTTTTCCAATCTCTTGAACATCTGTTCTCTTATTTACTACCTTGAACTATCTCTACCTTATTATTTTGTGGATGTTCTGTTTTTCTCAGTAGTCTTCACATTTTTCAAACCTGAATTTATATCTTCTTCCTCAGCCTAAAACACCAATCTCTAGGCACAAAGGATTGACTCCTGGGACCAGACTGAATGTGAAAAAGCATTGCACACTTAGGAAGTAGAGAGCCTGGGAGGCCACCTTCAATGCTTTGTGCTTTGTCAACTTAAGGTTCAGTGCTGTTCTTTGCTTTTCAACAGACCAAACACATGGATTACTTGAATTCTCCATTAACTTTCCTTGATGAGCCACTTAGATTTAATTTTTTTCCTCCTCTCAACATTGTTTACATGTTAGAACCATCTGGGGAGTTATAGAAAATCCTCATGTTCAGACTACACCTCAGGCCAATTAAATCAGAATTTCTAGGATGGGGGCCAAAGTACCGGTATCAGTACTTTTTTTTTAAAAAAAGCTCTCTAGGAGATTTTAGTGTACAGTCAAGACAGAAAACCACTGTTTCATATCAAACTATGTAAAGTCTGATTAGGAGAACCCCAGATTGGAAACAGATAGTAAATAAATAAACATCCAGTTTTGGAACTTCTTAATGGACACACCATTAAATCAGGTGAACTCCCTTCTGAATGACTCTTCCTAAATTATTTAAGGGATACTGTCAGTGAACTTGAAACTACTGTTTGAGAACAAGCACGTGCAGAACATGAAGCTCACTCCTTCTATGAGATTCAGGCGCCCACTGTCCTTTTTGGGTTGCCCATATCCTGATTGGTAGCTGCTATTGAGATCTCAAATTAAATACCATTTCTTTGACCAACTTCAGTGGCCCACCAGTGTTAGGAAGGCTAGTCACACTTTCTCAAAACTCATTTTCCTTTTTAGCACCCATGTAAGTAGAAATCTGGATGATTATTTGCTCTCTAAACTGCCTTCTCCTCCTGCCATGAGATTTTAAGCCCAGTGATGGCGATACTGTGTCTGATGTATTAATTCTAGAAAAGCTGGCACCCACGATAGGGCCCAGGATAACAGCATAGTAAATAGCTGGTAAAGGAATGGAGATTGCAGTACTAGTTCTTGATGGGTTTTCACTGGGGTGGGAGAATGGCAGGATCCTGTGACCCTCTGTGGGGCAGTTTGTCAGCAGTGAGAGAGTGCACTGGGGGAGGTGTCACTCAGTTTTGATTAATGACTCTCAAATAACCTGCTTATAGAATGACTTGGATGTGTTGCTGAGAGTATGAATGTCTATGTCTCATATCAAAAAGATTTAGCATCGGAAGTGTGACGTCAGTACCAGGAATAAGTTTGCCAGTCGATATTGATGGGCTTGGCCACAGTCCAGTGTTTACAAAATACCGCTTTCGACATTGACTGAAATGACTTTTAGAAGTGCTGTCAAGCCTGGAGCTTGGAGCCTCTGTGAAGCAGTTATTCTTTTTATTCAGTGGTACAGCTGTGAAGGTGAGGTTGAAAGTGTTCTTTGGAGGTGACATATCACCTTACTTGACAACTTTGGCAGGATAACGTCCTGAATACCGTCTGTTCTGCCTAGTAATGTAGCTGGATGAACCCATGAGTGCTTAGAAATCAATATTATTAAGTGTGATGATAGTATTAGAAATGTGTCAGTGTAACACTTTCTCTAGATTTGGGGGGAAATGTGATCATGTTGGCCATCGACCTTGGCAGTACTGATATTGGGGTTGTGCTTGCATCGACAAAAATAGCGTCAGTGCTGGCCATGTTTTCATATGCATATATCTATTTCCAACAATCAATATTGGAAATATACTAAAGAAGTATTCATTGCATCTGCATTGATGCTAAGAAAGACTACACAGATTATAAAACTCCTAGCCACTCAGAATCCCTCTAGCAAGCTCAACTAGGCAAATAGAACAAAAATAAGAAAAAAAATCCTCCACATACCAAAAATAGGCATTAAAAATGCATATAGTGCGATTAAGACCGGAGCCACCAGGAGCACTCGCAAACACGGACTAGGGCTGCTGTGCCGCGAGAGCAGCTGTGCCATGAGACCCTCCCTCGCTTGTTTCTGCTTCTCTGGCTGGTGTTCCCTGCCACAGTGTTGCTCTGCAGACGCCCCGCAGGCTCATTAGCTGTGGCTCAAGATCTTACAGAGGATGAAAAAACAGTGGAAGATTCAATAATTGAAGATGGTGATGAGGAAGCTGAAGTAGAAGAAGATGAACCCGCAGATTTGGCAGGAGATAAAGAGGAACAAGATGTATCTGGTGAACCCGAAGCATCACCGAGCACAGGCACAGCTATCCTATTTGTAAAAGAAGATTTTCCAGCAAATAATGCTGTGAAGTTCCTGGTGGGCTTCACAAACAAGGGTACAGAAGATTTTATTGTCGAGTCCTAGATGCCTCATTCCACTATCCTCAGGACTACCAGTTCTACATCCAGAATTTCACGGCTCTTCCTCTGAACATATCATGCTACCCTAGAGAAAGGCCACTTCTGAGTACTCCTTCATTCCTGCAGAGCCAATGGGTGGATGGCCCTTTGATCCGATCATCAACTTGAACTACAAGGATTTGAATGGCAATGTATTCCAGGATGCTGTCTTCAGACTGTTATCGTTATCGTTATTATTATTATTATTTTTAATTTTTTTTTGGCGGAACCGGGGATTGAACTCAGATTCTTATGTTTGCCAGTCAAGCGCTTATCCTACTGAGCCATCTCCCTGGCCCCCTTTTTTTTAGCACTTTTTTTTTTTTGAAAGAGAGGACGGGTAGATGGAGAAACGATCTGTATGTATATGCTCCTTGCTGGTCTTGGGCTTCTGCTAATCATTGGCCTTCCTCAGCTGCTGGAATCTAGAAAGGGTAAGAGACCCATCCAGAAGGTGGAGATGGGGACATCGAGCCAGAACGATGTGGACATGAGCTGGATCCCTCAGGAGACCTCGAACAGATCAACAAAGCTTCTCCACGAAGGGTGCCCCAGAGATGGGCACAGAGTCGATTGGTGGGATCTATGAGTAAATGTACCCTTGTGCAGCTGCTGAAGCTGTGCTTCCCTGCCTTTGTGTGTCCGCTTGGCGGGAGTGGACCTGGGACATGTGGTGCTGCGGCAGGCGCCTGCTCCTAAAGTGTGGACTGTGCAGTGCGGGTGTGGGATGACATGGCTGAAATGCACTACATTCATTTTTCTAAAGTAACAAATTAGTTTTTTTTTTTTTAAACCATTAAAATCTGTGTGTGCATGTATGTGCGTGTGTGATCAGGCGGTCTGACCAGAATCATTGTTGAACTACCTGAATCATGCCTTTAGAATACTGAATGCAAGCCATTGTCTTTTCTGACAGTTTCTGATTTTTGACCCCAAACTGAATGAATATTTGCCCCAATATAATTATTTGTGTCCTGCCTTGCATTCTTTGTGTGTGTGTGTGTGTGTGTGTGTGTGTGTGTGTTTTAGTGCAAGGTCCTCAGAGTCTCACTACGTAGATCGGACTCATAGTGGTCCTCCTGTTTTCAGCTTCCCAAGCACTGGGATTACAGGTGTGCACCACCACACCCAGTTTCAGTCGCAGTTTCAGTGCACCCTGGGGGCAGGGCCAGCGTCTTGCACTGTCTTAAGGGAATAATTTGTTTCTCTCTTGGAATTGCTCAGATCTCAGCTGATGGCAATATTAGTGTTTTTTGTTGCTTTCTTACAACTGGTATTCTAAAGGCATAGGCAGGAGTGGCTGCTTTTGTAGCAATAGAATTGTTTTGGCATTTTTGCTGCTGTTTAATGTGCACCTTCGAAAATTTCGCCAAATGGATGCAAGCAATTTGGGGCTATCTCTAGCAGCAAAACTGTGAAACATGAAAATTCCACTGACTTTGATATATAAATCCCCACCCTCTTCACTTTATGTAACAAAAAGAAAATGGTACGTTTGTGCGAACTGGAAAAAAGTGCATATAGTTAAACGTACTCTTTGTTTTCTCAAGATTTTTAAAAATTTACTTATTTGGCACAGGATCTGGCTATGCAGCTCAGACTCATAGTGATCCTCTTGTCTCAACCTCCCCAGTGTTGAGATTACAGGTGTGTACTACCATGCCTGGTTTGGGGCCTGGCACAGGGCGCCTGGTGTCCTGGGATCGGAAAAGCATATGGTACTGGGGATCAAACTCAGGTCCTTGCACTTGCCAGGCAGACACTTAAAACTGGAGCTATGTCCCAACCTCTCTCTCTCTCTCTCTCTCTCTCTCTCTCTCTCTCTCTCTCTCTCTCTCTCTCTTAAAGGGGACTACTAGTTACTGTCACTTTAAACATAAGCTAACTACTTTGGGGAATCATAACTCATATGATAAGCCCAAGACATCAGAATCACAGATGTATAACACCTCTTATGCTAAAACAGCCCTGTTTTAGTATCTATGTTCTTAAATTCAGTGGTTCATTGGCATCATTTACAGGTGCTATAAATGTAATATTTATCAAACAATGAAACATCCAAGGAAAACAATGCTCTCATTTTAGATATTAGGAAGCCGTGTGCCAGAGATGTGAAAAACTTGATGATGAACTCCGATTGCTATGTGATAACTTTTCTTTATTTCCCGTGTAAAATACACAATAACATCTGATAATCTTAAAGATAATTTGGAGTCATGAAGGAAACTTTAAAGTTTAGCATTTAATTTAAAAATGTAGACCAACGTTTAAAATGCAAAACAACCTCTTTAATTTTGCAAATAATTCCATCAGCAATGGTTAAACATAACCATGGTTGAATACATGAAGGAATAAGTTTCTGTTAAATGGAAAAATCACTTTTGTAAACTATTCATTTAGTAATTCAGTAGAAAAAGAACCCTAAGCACCTGCAAATCTCATATTTACCATAATACAATAATTATATAATTGCATAAATGCAATAACTATATAATTATATATTAATATTTGTATCTAGCACAAGATTGTAACACCACACACACACACACACACACACACACACACACTTTAAAATGCACTTTGTATCATTATGTATCGGCTACATTTCTTATGCAAATCCTGTGTGGTATGGGTTAATTATTACTTGCATGGTCTATAGACCATTATTCTGTGCTCAAAAATAGCCCTGGAAAGGAAGGGAAGGAGACAG